AGAACTTTGGGATCCTAAAAATAAATAAATAAATAAATAAATAAATAATCTATCCTCCTCCACCCTGACCCGAACCCAATCCCAGCTCTCTTCACCCCATATCAGAATCAGTGAAAGGCTGGTGAATTCCACTAATACCGCAGTTGCGTAGTGTCTCTCTCTATTAAGGGTGGAACATACAGTTGTCTTGTCCATCCTAGACTTTACCACAGTCACGACTTCAGCGGTGAGCATGATCAATGAACAGGGCTCCAAAAGCAGCAGGCATTTAGCGATCATGATGCCATCTATCATTGAGCCTGTGTTATGGTGGCACCTAGCAGCCCCTAATCGAAGTCAGGCCCCATTGTGCTAGGTGCTGTACAAACTCAGTGACAGTCTCAGCCCCAAAGAGCTTACAAAACCAGCCATTGGTGCGCTGGTGTCTGGAGCTGGCCCTGGTAACAGCAATGGCTGGAAATCTTAGGGAAAAGAAGCTACTGTAGACCCAGTCAGGGAGGTTATCGTGTAACAAGAAAGTGGGGTGCCTTTGGTTCCCTGAGCCCAGCATCCATGGCTGGGCTCCCTGTCTTCTTCTGGGCACCCCATTCACTCACACCTCCTGTGGCTGCACTTTACCAGTTAATCAGCATTGTGAGCTCTCCCCAGAGACCCCAGCATTCCTACCATGCGGGCAAGCATGCGCAAGAGGGTGTAGGCGTCCAGAGAAGTTACTTAACTCACTTGGGACCCACCTCTAGCTCTGAATCCAGGTCCTGTGGAGGAGACTGCTGGAACAGGACTCAAGAACAGAAGGCCTGTTCATTGGGACAGCAGCTGAGTGCATGATCCTCTGGGCACGCCTTCGAGTTACCGTTACCTAGCAAGGCTGCACTGCCACATCCCTGTTCTCACCTGCACCGCTGCATGTGCTGACGGGTACGAGCCATGCTGACTCCAAAGGCCAGGCTCGCCCCACCAGCCTCCACTTCCCTTACGAGAACTCACCAATACTGACAGTGAGTTTCTGATCGTTCCAATCAAGAGCTATACAGAGCTATTGCAAATACCCCACTTCCAGAGCCAGGCGATGAGAACAGAGGGAGAGAGAAATGAGGAGGCGCAGGCCAGGGAGAAGAGAGGTTTCCAGCAGCGATGTGAAGTTACAATAGATGCATCGGGTCGCTCCTCTGACTCTCCGAGGCGACTGTTCTGGACCGGAAGGCGGTCTGGCTGCAGAGAAGGAGGCTCTTGCGCGAACAGCGCTGTTACAACAAGACGACAAAGGTGGCTGGCACTAACTGAACAGCTAGAGAAGAAGAAAAAAGGCGCCCTCAGGATCCCCTGCAATGCCATGGAGAGCAAGTGTCGGCACGTGGGCTGGGCTGGCAGCCGAGGTGACCGAACGAGTGTCCCAGAGCCAGCGCACTAGGCTGGCAGGGCTACAAAGGCTATCAAGCCACGTGCTTCATTTTGTTCTGGAACGTCCCCATTTCGCAGCCGCAGAGTGGCAGTGGTGGGCTCGGGAAGAGTCATAGAGCGCCTCCCCAGAAGGAAGCGCTGAATAATCAAAATACACACACACACTGAAGTGTTTACAGCAGAGGCTGCGACTCGTGCCAGTCTTAATGCTCTCTAAACAGGCTCTCACGTGGATCACTGCTGTGGAAGGGGAACTCAGGCCCAGCAGAGCTGTTTCCCATTGCGTGTTCACTTGAGTTAACGACTATTACAAAAGAAACTTTCAAGACAGTAACCAGATAGTCCAAAGCTGCTGCAGCCTGCCAGGACAGGCACACGCTTTGCAGGCCCGGAGCACAAGCCAGCCCAGCCCCTGGTTAACGCACGTTCCACCCTTTCATGAAGAGTTGTGACGCGCTTGGAGGTCGTTGGAGGGAAGGTACCATGTAAACAGGCCTCAAACGCCCCCACGAGGCTGTTCTCCCCTACTTTACCAGAGGGAGAAAGTGGCACAGAGTGGGAGAGAGATTTGCCCAAGGTCACACAGCAAGTCTGTGGCAGAGAAAAAGGAACGCTCCCAGATCCTCCGACCCACAATCCGGTGCCTTGACCACATGAGCATCTTCTCCCTGGCAGTCCTGATTTAGGTGGAGTGGCGTGTGTACAAGAGACGAATTGGCCCCAGAATCCAGACCATCACACCCTAATCTCATTTCAGTCTAGAACTCGGAAGCTGCTGGCCAGGTTCTTTTGGGGTCCCCGCAAAGCCCACGGCTCTCCCATGTGTTTATGCAGCACCATCCTGAGCAGCGGCATCTATGCACTTGCAGCGGGATGGTGCTGAATTATGTGAGCAATGGGCAGAAGTTTCTAACAGAAACTGCTTAACCCATCTGGGGCCAGAGCTAGAGCTGAGCCAGAAGGTTGTTGCAACACAGAGCCATTCTTGTTAGAGTGATCTTATCCGGAGTACAAATTCCCCTCTCCTCCCCATTCCCATTCATCCCTCCCCTTGCCCTCCCTCTGCCCCAGGTTTGTTACAGTCAGTCTCGGAAGTATGAGAATCTAAATGGGTGACAGGTAAATGAAATGTACCGAGGGGACATTAAAAGATAGACAAGCGGTGCCCATGCTTGCTGATAATTAAATCTACCAAGCGAGCACGAACTAAATGCTATAATCAAATAGTATTATTCAGTGCAATTCGGCTACTGAAACTCCACTTCCAAACATTATATCGCAGGGCTTGGTTTGTTTCCAGCTAGTAAAAGAGTCAGACCGACGAATATGGATACTCATTTCTAAGTATCAGTTGAAATCAAAACTAATCCTTCCCAGCCTAATTATAGGCCCAGAAGGAGTGATTTCCCTTCCCTCTTCTAACCAAAGGCTTCCAACCTCGCACAGCCTGGTATTTCCTGTCTCTGGCTCTTTGTTTAGGGTTGAAGTTCACATTCTCTTCCCCCTGCAGTGGGAACAGGTCTGAGCTGCAGACAGGATGAGCGGCTCCACTGAACTGGTGAAGAATTGAAACCCAAATGCTCCTCCCCACCCTGGAAAAATATCAGTCAGGGTGGAAACAATGCAAACCTAGCTTGAATCTTAAAGGTCTCCAAGATTCAGTCTCGGGCAGCAGCCCAAACAGGAGGGTGCGACCCTACCCACTATATCCATCAGCAACAAACATCACAAGGGTGTCTATACTCCGGAAGCTTCTGAAACCTTCCTGTTGCTAACATAGCACGAGAGATGGAACTCATGATGCTTGTGATTAAACCATCTGGTCAGTTTGCCCAGTCTCGGCAGGGTCAGGGCTACATCTACTTGGACTGCAAGCTCTTTGGAGCAGGCATGTTTTTTGTTGTGTTTGTACAGCACCTAGCACAATGGGCCCACAACTGGCAACTCTCAGTGCTACCGCAATACAAATCAATCCATGCATCAGTAGTTGCGTGTTGATCAGACGTGCCTCTGAGCAAGGGCCAGACTCCAGTCAGACTACTACCAATTGCAATAATACATTCGTTTTAGACTGTACCTAGGTCCTCCTAGCCTATTGCACACTGCAGGTTAGCTATGCTAATTAACTTTGTGCTCTAGTACATGACCAGGTTAACTCTTTAGCTGTGGCTCATTTCAGCGTGACCTATAGAATAATAAGCTAGTAAGTACTGGCAGGGGCAAGGTGTTCAAAGCTTCCTGCTTCGGTCTCCAGCGCTTTGCCTAGCTACATTTGCACCTGGAAACTGGAAAAGCAGGCGTGTGGTTTTACACGAGGGGGATGGGAGGCCGGAGGGAACGGATGGCAGGCTATGCTCTGAATATAGGAATTTGCATATTTAGTCAGACCCACTGTCTGTCTGGTCCAGTACCTGTCTGACACTGGCCAGTAGCACATGCCTCAGAAGAAGGTTTACTGCCTTCTTCGGGGTCAAATGGGAGAATGTGTCTCCCCAGCATTAGGTCTCCTAATCCCCCTAGTTAGGGAGACTGGCTTAGGCCCTGAAACAGGATATTTAATATCCCTTCCCAAATTTGTCAGCAGCAGTTGTAACGGCACATTCTCGTTATCCATGTAAGGATCCAATCTCTGAAGCTCTCGTCCCTAGCCCCGTGTTGCAGGGAGCACGCTTCTGGACGCAAAACCGCCATCATCTATGCAGATGGAATTCTCTCTCAGATCCACCTATCCGCCGAGAGCTCACTCCCTCGAATGTCTGTGGCACCTCGGGCAAGGTGCCCGTGCTGCTCCATGCCAGCAGTTTGGAGCTACACTGGGCATTAGGAGTCAGACATACAAGGGAGCCCAGTGAAAGGCAAGGTGGGGCTGCAGTGCACCAGGGAGCCCATTCACTCCCTCTGTGGCTAGGGGAAATGAATCACATTGCACAAAGCCGCAATTAAGTCACTTGACTCACTCGGGAAGGAAAACTCAACGCTGGAACTTGGGCAAGAGCCAAGCTGCAGGGTGAAGGGCCTGTACCAGCTCCTGGCCTGGAGTAGGAGTCCCAGAAGTTCTAAAGCTAGAAGGTACTGCTCCCCCAGAACAAGCCCCAGAGCTTCAACCACCGGCTGCTTGCCGTGCCCCCCTTTAACACACATCCCGTAAGCACAAGGGTTCAACTCCACAGCTGCTGTTTGGCTTGAATTGCTGGAAGAACTTGGCCTTTCCCCACTATCGAGGTGAAATTTTCCACTCCAGCTTTCTCCCGGATCTCGCATTGGAAGATCCCCACCAGGAAGGCCTGCTCTCACAGCGCTGCATAAATGCATCATTGCTGACGCTCCCGGCAGCAGACTGGCCTGGGGCATCTGCCTCCCATCCCCGTGAGCCCACCTTTCAGCTACATTTGGGCACGCACACAGCTCCCAGAGCCAAAGCTCCTTCAACACCGAATCTGGATCCATTTTGTGGCCCATCCCCATTTGTGTGTTCAGGTCTGAGTGCGAAGATGTTGCAGGGAGCAGCAACGCAAGCCAGCATCTGGAGCAGAGCTGAGCCAGAGATCCCAGGACAGGGCAATGTTCAGAGGAAGTCTGTTGAGGAGCCTCTCCCTTACCTTGCGGTGGAGCAGCTGGGACTGTGGCCCTCCGTTGCCCTCAATTTCATACCGGACGCTGTTGAAGAGCGCGACGCCATACTGTTCCTCGTAAAACTGGCAGAATTCCCCCAGCACCTTCCCGGTTTTCTCTGAAAGTCAAAATGAAGAGAAATTTAACACAGATCGCCTGACTTCAAAACACATCCAAACCCCCCCAGACACGCACGCTACAAAACCCCTCCCCCATCTGCTGGGGAGACTCCTCGAGTCACTTTGCACTTTAACACGAAAGCCTGGGACCGAGATGATCAGTAAGGAAGTGTCTCACTTCCTGCAGCTGTGGGGGAATATCTACCAGCTGAAAGCATCCCTATCATGATGGTTAGTGTATCACTGGCCATCTGTTTGTGGGCTCGGGGGCGGACGGTTGGTGGAATCATCTTACTCTGATGAGCAGCGGGTGGGTTACTGATTAATCCATACACACTCTATTGCATTAGCAGGACTTGTGCTCATTTCTCCTCCTAGTCTAGATACCTTCCAAATTTAAAACAACTCCCCCCCCCTCACCCGCGAAGTCCAACTTTTGTTTTGATCACAATACTCCTAGAAGGCCGATGCTGAAGAACCCACTTGCACCTAGGCTAGGACCTAGTCTCCCAGTTTGCAATAAACGGCTCTTTACCTTGTCTGCCCGCATTTCTACGGCACACATCACTGGGCCAGATACAGAAACAGGAGTCCTTCTGCCCTGACCATCCAGCCCTTTCTTGCGTTAGTGGTTACGCCAAGTGGGGCCACTTTGGCATATGCCTTCCTCATGCCCACGTGCCCCACTCTTAGAAGGATGGACAGGAAGAGGCATGCGAGAAAGATGGGGCTTTTGCTACTTTTTGGGTGCAATGTGACAGGCTCATGCAGGGCACCGATCACTGGGGAATTCCACCTCTACCAAAAGTGTCTTAAAAACGGTCTTCCGAGTGGCCCGGGTAACCTCAAAGTCCATCACCTGTCATGTCACTTCAGTGCTGCCCGTTTCCTCCCGCTCCCGTTCGGAATGTGCCAGGAGAAGCCAGCCAACCGGAGGCCCTCTGGTTATGGAAGGAATCCCACAGTCCAGCCCGGTTATGGAAGGAATCCCACCAAGTGCCCATGGGAGCTGCTCCAGTGCACCTGCCAGCAGCCTATCATTCCCGCGCTGCCCAGGCGGCCTTCCCTGCCTAAAGAGGAGGTTCCATCCTCTTACTGGGGAGTGGCAGAGAAGCGGAACACTTTTCACCTGCATGTTCCCCGGCTGGACCCAAACCCAGCGCTCTCACTGGTGAAAGGGCAGCAGCTTTTGCCACATGCGACCTGCCCCCGGGTGCAGGCGCTCAGCACATCCTACTGAATCAAACAGCCCTGGGCCAGGTGAGTCACCTTTCCATCAGCGTCCGATCCACAAACAAACCCGAATCGTGCAACTCAGAATGGAGTGGTGAATAAGGGCATGTGGACAGACTGTGCCGCTCAAAATATTTTCCCATTCCTAGTGCCAGCAATAGCAGCGACCTTTGCCAGGAGGCAGAGCTGGCCAGCACCCAGAGTGCCGCCTCCCCTACTGGGAGTCATGCTCCGGTCTTTGGAAGCAGAGGCCAAGATGCAGAGTAGAGGGATACAGGAAAGACTCCTACAGAGACTCCAGAAACCCTGATTTGGCCATATAGAATCAGGTGGGAACTCAACAACAGTTTTGTTTCATACGAGAACAGTCACTGGTGGACTTGGGGCAAGAGATAGTGGAAATCACGGGGGAATTTTAGTACAACATACCCCTGGGACCAGGTGACAATATATTCAAAACGAAGCTCTGCTCTACAGTTAAACTTGTTATTGGCATAGCTGTGTTGGTTAGGGCTGTGATTTTCATGCTGGTATAAACCCTGATATACGGGCATAAGAGTGCTTTTGCCAGCATCGCTTTTGTCTCAGGGAACTGGTGAGTTCCCACGTCTCAGGGAAGCACTATGCCGGGAGAAACTCGGTTTTGCTGGTATAAGCTGTTTCTGCACTATGAAGGTTTGCCAGTATAACTCTGCTGGTATAGCTATGCCAGCAAAGCTTTTCTAGTGTGGGCAAGGCCCCAGGGGTCCCTCCTGCCCTGCTACCAGTCTAACACACAAGCTGTTCCATACCAAAAGGAGAACTTTCTATCAGGGTGGTAAATACTCGGTAACTTACATTGGCATGAACCAATCAGCCTCTACCACCGACGCTCTCCCACCACCCAGCCAGGATTTCTCCACTGAATCACAGTTCAAGATTCTTCCTTGGCTCAGTTTGCTGTTAGGGCCCCACGATCCAAATTCTATCCCTGCTGTAGCCATGACATTTCAAAATAACCATAACACGCAGCATGGCAACAGCTGGCAAGCACTAGGCACATTTGTTCCAATATGTATTTGATCAGGGAAGTTCCCCCCCGGTTCTTTGGGATTCTGCAAAGAACTCCCTTAACCGCTCTGGAGGATACCAAGTCGTCCATGCTGGCCACCAACTTGGCTGACACCAGAGACCTCCAGAGCTAAAAAGCATGAACCTCTGCAGTCAGGTTCGGAAGCTGGGGCTGGGACAGAGTCAAACTCGCATCCGCTGTGGCTCCAGCAGAGGCAGAACACATTGAGCAGCGGGTTATACTAGCAAGGTCACTAACAGCAGGACAAACACCAGTGAGTCAGACGTACGTGGACCAATTCTCAACTGCCCCAAGGCTTCTTCTAGGAGAAAACCCTTCTCGCATCAAGGCTTGTTTGTGTTGCAGCCTAAGATCACCCCTCAGACCTGAGACTCCCACCCGCTTCCTCTCCTAGTGTCGGGAGCACTTGGAGCTTCCTGCAGCTCTGGGACTCCCCAAGGGGCAGCTGCCCCCCTTGAAGAAGGCCTTGCCATGACTGCACATGGCCTCAATTCACACCACTATAAGAGTCTTCCGGGCCCCGCCCCTCTTGCCCTCTGCGATAAGGGCTTCTGAAAGAGAGACGGCAACGCAGGCACTGTGATTATGACTTTGATAATGAAAGTGAAGGATGGGGCTTGGCTGCGTTCATACACAAACCCAGTAATGAGCAGGGATAAAGGTTGCCCTCCCTACCCCACCTCTAGGGCAGCGCTCAGCGCAGACGCTGTATTTAACTGGGGCCTAAAAAGGCAAATCAACAGCTGAGACAGGCTCTGAAGTTACCAGTCCCAGCCCCCAGCTGAGGGACGTTCTAGAATCCTCTGCCAGCTCCAAACTCAACAGTCGTTCAGCAACCACCACAGATCCCTGCTCCTCTGCTACCTACTCCCGATCATTTCATAACATGCCTGCTCATTAGATACCCAGGGAAGATGCAAAGCAAAACGTACACAAGCTGCTCCCCATGTAAAACAAGTTCAGCTCTTCCAGAAACTCTGCATGCCCCATCAGTACTGTCATCTGGGCCAGTCACTGCTTTCCAGCAGGGCATTTCAAAGGGACCTGAAGGGAGTTCAGTGGGATTCAGCTGCCTAATTCCCTTTTGGTTCCTTTAAAAAGTCCCAGCCCCCATTTGGTTTAGGCTCCAGTCATGCTGCCACTGAAATCAACAGGACTTTATCTATGATCAGTTTTCCCAAAGTGCTCACACATATGCTAAAGCACCTTCCCTGCCCCGAACAGCTCCCAATCCACGTTCCACAAGGCAACAGGGAGTGATACCAGAACAGGATGCCATGGGATGCCACTCAATGTGCAGCGGCAGTCAAAAAAGCACACAGAATGTTGGGAATCATTAAGAAAGGGATAGATAAGATGACAGAAAATATCATATTGCCTCTATATAAATCCATGGTACGCCCACACCTTGAATTCTGTGTGCAGACCTGGTCACCCCCACTCAAAAAAAAAAAAAAAAAAAAAAGATATTGAAATTGGAAAAAGTTCAGAAAAGAGCAACAAAAATGATTAGGGGTATGGAACGGCTGCCATATGAGGAGAGATTAATAAGACTGGGACTTTTCAGCTTGGAAAAGAGATGACTAAGTGGGGATATGATAGAGGTCTATAAAACTATGATAGATGTGGAGAAAGTAAATAAGGAAGTGTTATTTACTCTCTTTCTCATAACACAAGAACTAGGGGTCACCAAATGAAATTAATAGGCAGCAGGTTTAAAACAAACAAAAGGAAGTATTTTTTCACACAACACACAGTCAATCTGTGGAACTCCTTACCAGAGGAGGTTATGAAGGCCAAGACTATAACAGAGTTAAAAAAAGAACTAGATAAATTCATGGAGGACAGGTCCATCAATGGCTATTAGCCAGGATGGGCAGGGATGGTGTCCCTAGCCTCTGGTTGCCAGAAGCTGGGAATGGGCGACAGGGGATGGATCACTTGAAGATTCCCTGTTCTGTTCATTCCCTCTGGGGCACCTGGCATTGGCCACTGTTGGAAGACAGGATACTGCGCTAGATGGACCTTTGGTCTGACCCTATATGGCCATTCTTGGGAACAATAAGATCACATGATTACTCACTAAGGCATGCATGCGTCTTGGGTGTACCCAGACGCTGCAGTGGGAGCAGGATTGGGCTGCTTGGTTGTAAGCTCCTTGGGGCAGGGACCTTGCCTGGTAGGTCTGTACATTACTGTGCACATCTCCCATAGGAGGGGGATTTATAACACTAAGAACCAGAATGGTTTTGGCAGACCACTCCATCCCAGTAACACCACTGGGAAGGTCCTGAAATCCCTATCTATCTACCCCTCCATCTCGTCACTGACACACAGCTGGCAGGGTCTCTGCTGCAGCCCGCTCTGCTTCACCCATCCACCAGCCAGGCCGTCAGAAGGTTCAGGATGGATGAGCAGAGCCGTGTTTCTGGAGTGTGACTTTTCCCTCCATACTGCATCCAAGACAGAGCCCCTGAACACACGTCCCCGTCACGTGGGAGAAGGCTGATCTACCGAGGGATGCTTCTGAGTGCAGTCAGCAAGGTTGCCCGTACTACGCCCATGCCAGGGACGGGACAATAGAAACTCTCCCAGCTGGCGCGGCTGCTTGTTCCCAGTGATGATGTCTGCACAGCATGGGAAGCGGGGTCCCTCTATGCACACTGCAGAACAGCAGGGAAGGTCCCCTTTGGA